TGCTTACAATGTTATGTTTTGCAGATTCTGTGTTTGTTTTTCATTTAAAAAAATAAGTTCATCTAACCCTGAGTTAGTGTTGGAGTCACAAATCCAATTCATTTAAGAAGAGTTTTCCGATTATTTTATTTTAACTATGTATACATAGTGGGCCCAGCTTTATACTTACTTGCCTTTTAAAAACAGATATACAGAGTGACACTTCAGAGCTGTAAATAGTCATGTCCGAGTTCAAGTTTGAGCTCTTCTACTTGATCAAGGCCAAGTCACTGCCAGGTCCAAGTCCAGCCTCAAATCGTCAGTCCTTTTGTTTAAGTCCAGAGTCCTGGAAGTGTCACGTGTGAGTCTGGTCCTTCAGTACCTCTGACCTGAACTATGAAAATCTGCTTGAGATAGACATTCTTCACAAAACAACAAACAACAAAAACAAAAACTATTAAACGTTTGTAACAGTAGCATAACCATCACAGTGCTGTGGATCATTACTACTTCAAATGTCATGTTTAAATAACATCACAGATTTTATTAATCTTTCAAACATCTCAACACCTCATTGTTAACATCTCTTCACTTACAATCCTTCGGCTTTCATTTTGATGCAATACTATTTTTTATTAAGCCTTATTTATGGAAAATTTTCCCTTGGCTCTACACTGAATTTACAGCAAAGGGATTTTGTCTGCTGCTAGATCTAAAGTTTATATAGGAGCAGTACCAGTTAAAGAAGAAAAGGGCCAAATTTAACACAGATGCCTGGTGCCATTAATTCTTTTTGTTGTCAAATCCAATATGGAGAATAGTGTTTTCAAAGTTGGCAATGACTTTGAACATTTTTACGGGACTGCTACAGAGAGATATAGGAGATGGATCTTATTATGACTTCTTTCATGTGCAACCTGTATCTCCCAACGAGGCTGGTGAAAAGTGGAGGAGCTTTGTGTCTCATTATGTGGCAGTGTTTCTTGGTCTCCTACAGAAGTCGCAGTGGCCGCCGGGCGTCAAATGGGGGGTGGGTAAGGGTGGGGGGATGGAGAGGCTGAACTTGGTGACCAAAAGTGAAATGACGCAAATGAAAAGAGACAAACCGACAGGAAGCCAGGGCAGAAACAACAGCTGGCCAGCACAGACAGACAGGCTGACACATAACGGCACATAGACAGGTTTCAATTTGGGACAGAGGTTGCGTAAGCAGCAAAATCAGAGAAGCAGTACAAAATGTGTATGAAGGTAACTCTGGACAGATGGCTGCTTTTTATTGTACTTAAAATAAGGCTCAAGTGGATTTCCAGGTGCAGAGAAAGTGCCAGACAATTGTTGAAGAAAAAGATTAACATAACATTATGACCTGTCTGATATGCAGTCTCACGAAATGCTTTTTGTGTATTTTAAGAATTTTCCAATATTATTTTTTTTCTGTAACTGGATCTCATCTGCTAGATTGGACCACATGGCCCGACTTCCTCCTCCAGTTCATTCTGTTGACCATTATTGGAGTGGGATTCGTGGAGTTGCATGTTTTTGATGCTTTAAGAAAGAAATTATGGGTAAATCACTACATAATGTGAAACTGAGGTGAGAGAAGTTACAATTTAAGTTACTGTGAATTTTGTACTGAATTGAGCTTTTAAGAAGAAATGCATGTTGCTACTGAGACATGACAAGTGTCAATAGCAAGTGTCTCAGACAAGTTACAAATAAGTAGCTCTGAATGGATAAGCAAAAACAACAAAAAATGTTTTACTGTGAGTAAGATCCCAGGAACTCCTTCTCACAATGTGCTTATTGTCAAACATGATCAAATCTTTACATGTTTGCATGCCTTTAATTTTCTACAGTATAATGTACTCGATGACTCTTTCTGACCTAAGACAGTGTTTTCAGATCATCCAGAAAGTGAAAAGCACTGGAGAGGTGTTTGGGGTCAGTGGCCTGACTGACTCATACAATAAAGGGTGTGGACTCAAAGTTTGGTTGATTTTGGAGCACTGTCACACTAAACAAACAGTGCACATGGCAGCAGTCTCCACTGTGAAAGAATGACAGTGTCCAGTCTGTGACTAGATATGATCTGGCCTCACACAGGAATGGGAAGGGGGAATTCCTCTGTTCAACTGTCACTGAAAACACTGGTACTGGCACAAATGTGAAAGCCTTAAAGGTGCACTATGTAACCTTTCTGTCGAAGGCCCCACAATCTGCTAGTCTCCATGGACAAATTACAAGTTGTTGTTTTTAGCAAAATAAACACCTGCAATTGAATAAATGAAAAGTTACTCAGTGCACCTTTAGATTTGTCAGTTGATAGTTCTTCACCAGTATATCTTTCCACCTATGACATTCAACACAGAAGAACAATTTTTAGGACTTTTGCTAAGACGAGTCAGAGTTCTAACGGTAAGTTTTTAATCAGATTGAGTAGTCGGAGTCCTGGCTTTTCAATACGACTGTTTAAAATTGTGATTTGCTATAAGATTTATGTGAAATAAAATAAAAGTATTGATTATTTAGAAAATTGCTCACTGGTGTAGACATGCCAAAATAAATGTACACAACATACAATGAAGTACCATTCTCCAGTGGAAACAGTGGAACTGAAACCGGTTGCAGAAGTGGAGATGGTCATGTTCTCTTTGAGGGTGAAGAGGAGAGGGTCAGAACTGTGCACATTAGAACTTATGTTAGATATGCTGATATAGTGATATATTGTATAAAGAGTTGGTCCTATAAAGAAGAAATGTTAGTATTTAGTGGAAGATGTGGATATTTACTAAGCTGTGTGAGAGAATAAGATGCGGCAGACAGGGTCAGAGGGATGCAGATGATAGACTGTGATGACCTCTGAAGTGATGCTAATCTAAAAGTAGCTAATCGTGATGCTATTAGCCCGGGCTGGTCACATTGGGTGATGGGGAACAAGCGCAGTGGCACCTCCCTACAGCTGCTTTGTAATTGGAGTCAGAGGTGTGAGAGTGCCAGCGAAAGTAGGCTGGCCTCAGGTCAATGCAGTGTCAAAGATGTAATGAATAATAATACTCAATCCCCTTTTTGCTAACAAGGAATAAGCTAAAGATCTCGTCTGACTAGCTGTGTGAAGCATTCAAGACAAACTTAACTCATTTTAGAAATAGACTACTTAAACCTCTCTTGGGCAGACCGCAGACAGCGTTAATTAACTCTCAAAAGCACATACATTTTTCATATTTCATAACAGAATAACAAAAGATTGCATGTCCTTTGCTGCTTGGAGAGGCTGTTGCCAGTCAGATAAACCTCAGAGCTGTTATTCTGTTAATAGATTCAAAATAAAACAATGACCCTGCATTTACATGATGCACACCCACGAGTATAAACCAGAAATCAATATGACAATTAGATAAACGTGTTATTTAATTTGTAGGTGATTAATGATGCCTGCGCGTGTCAACACTTGGTGAAAAGGTGTTTTGGTGTATTTGGTGACCTGTGCGGATGACCCACAGCAGGCTAAAAGGCAGGAAGTGTAGTATGGGTAGGCTGATGAAGAGGTCCAACGGGTGAGAGTGGTCCGACTGAGTACAAAACAATGTGTCACATAAGTCTTACCACTGTTGCACTCCATTAGGTTTGCTGAAAGGGGATTGATGCGGGCAGACGGCAGGTCATCACAGCTGAGGAAAAAGGCATCCCACGCTGATCCCTCATAAAACCAAGGCAGTAGATGCTGCTCCAAGCTGGTAAAAATACTGATCTCTGACTTTGGGAGGCGTAAATGACACATACAGCATGAAGGCTAGTTTTTGTGTTTTTTTTGGGAGATGAAAACAAAATCCGCATTAGACATTGCAATACCAATACATCAAATTTTATCTTGTAATAAAAAAAAATATATATACTCATTGTTTATCTGTACTCTTAGAGATGTCTTGGTAGTTGAGTCTAACACTCATGTCTGGCAACAAGACGGTTCCAGGTTCGGGTCTTTCTGTGCAGAGTTTGCCTGTTTCTCACTGTGCTTAGGTGGGTTTCCTCCAGGCACTCCGATTTCCCTCGTCAACCCAAAATATGCACAAAAATCATGCTAAGGTAGTACTCACCAGGCCTCAAGCTCTGGTACTGGGTCCCTCCAGTACCAGAGGGACTGGTACTGCTCGAGTGACCCGCTGCTCCTGTCTGGTTTCCCCAGTAGTAAAAAATGAAATAAAATACATGTAAGGGTATTTTGACTAAATGTAATTAAATGAGAATGCAATACATTTTTTTTAAACATGGTAAATTTTATGAAAGATAATTCAACACCAAAGACACCTTTGTTATGACCTTGCACAAGAAACATTACCAAAACCATTGATTTGAATGTGGCAGCTTGAGGAAAGGGTATTTGGTGTAGGCCTACAACTTGCCAAGTCACTGTGACTATTTTGCTCCTATCATAAGGGAAGATATAATATCTCTTACATTTCACTGCTGATCTTCAACGGCCATTTGAGGTCTGTGTATCTTCCTTCACCATTCAAACCAAATCGAAATGGCTGAAAAATGTAATGTGGAAAGATCATTTGTTTCTGTGAATTTGCATTCTAAAATAGGCCTACTGTTGCCGTATAAAAAAACAGCGAACAACAATACACATAGTGTAGCCAATAGCCAATAACCAGTGCCCTGAAATGAGCTGCCCATGGTGCAGGGCCTGGTCTCTGGCAGGCCCCACTCTGCTCATGTTTCTGAGGTCAGTAAACAAGAAATGTGCGTTCCCCTTTAAGAAACCCCCACCTTCCTAACAGAGGAGGGAGGATAACTGAGCTTGCGGAACAGCGGCTGAGGAGGGGAAAAAAAAAAAAAAAAAAATCCAACAGAGGACGGTTTCAAGTCCCCCCAATAGAAACTGTGCCTGATTTGTGGCCAATGTTGGAGATGTAAAAAAAAGAGAGAGAGAAGCGCGAGCGGGAGGGAGAGGCTAGAGAAGGAGGAGGATGGCGCGCGGGAGGGGAGGCGGAGGGAGGCAGAGGGAGGAGGGAGAAGACGGGGGGAGGGAGGAAAAACACTAAAGGGGTAGCTATGGAGATGGAGCGTTTTCCTGGCTGCTTTCTTTGACAGGTGTTGAGTGGGGCAAAAGTCTTAAAACAGAATCCAGCATGTACGCCAAAGGTAAAGGAGCTGTCGTCCCTTCCGATAGCCAAGCGAGAGAAAAGTAAGTGCAACGCGTGCTGCTAGCATGTGTTTTATTCCTTCACTTTATACCTGCTTGTTCTACGAGGGGCGAGGGGGCGCGACAAGGGTTAAGTGCAACTTTGGAAAACTAAACTCGTTTTATTTTCAAAACTCAAGTGCGCTCCTGCGTGTGCCTTCACCCCTCCCCTCCGATCACCTTTGGCGGTGCGTTACCAAAACTTTGTAGTAAATTTAGCTCCGCGTTCGTACCGAAATCACATGTTTGTGTGAAGCAACTTCTCAAACTCTGCACGCTCAACAAGAAAGCGGTATTGTCGTTGGAAGCAATTGTGCAGCTTTTTACAGTGCGTAACAGAAACATGTTTTCTCTCTTTTTACACGAAAGCATGTTTTTTTTTATTCCAGAAAAAACGACGTTTAGTGCCCCAGGATGCTAAAATTATTACGCTTTTAACTAGTCACTCAATACACCTCCATGCTTCACCTGAACATCAAAAGTTTGGTCCAATTTTTTAACTTTTCAGCATCCGCGCAGCGCACTACGCGGAGCTGGTCCTGACCTGTGCCGGACTTTTACTCAGAGAGCGGTCCATTCAGACTGAATGTGGGATTAATGCTTGGTCTCCATTGTGTGCTATAACAAAAACACACTGTGTGTTTTAACACCACGCTGTTACATTATACTTGTGTCTGGATTAGTTGAAATGCTGCAACATTCATTTTGGTAATGCTTTCAAGTAAAGTTAAAAAAGCAATGGAAGTTTAATTCATTTGACTAAAGGTGACACTGCCTCTGTACTTATTATTTTTAGAGCTGTTTTTTGGATCATGTTTAGATCAGCACAGTTTTATCATTAGCCTGTGTTTTAAAGAGGTTCGACTCAGTTTGGATCCCTGCTGTGATGCACTTGTTGTCTAAAGCTGCCATGTCCTGCACGAGTGTGTTACTGCATAGTAGCTTGTTATAAATTCTTACCACTCTCTGATATTCTTCTTGGGATGCCTGTAATTGATAAATTTAACTTTATGTTATTCTCTTGTCCTCTACTGTAATTCTATGTATAGAATTCATATCACTTAATTGGAAAATTTTTACCGTTTTGCGTATTTGTTTGGATGTTAAATTAATCAAGTCCCGAGTGGTTTGATAAACAGCAGCCTACATGACCTTTGAACCCTGTGATGCATGAATTTTGCATATGGCCCATTAGAATACACCTGGGCGATCTCCATCTTCAATGCTTAACATTTACAACATAACACTTTGTTTAAAACATTGGAAAATATGTTGCTATGATGTTTCTTATTAATATTGTTCTGGGAGTGAAATCAGTGCAGAGGCAGAAGCGTGTCTTTCATATGAAGAGTGTAGGAGGCAGATTAATAATTTAACTAATAGGAAATACAAGTCTTTGGAGAGCTGGAGCAGTGATGAATGCCGCTCACAAATTCTCTGGTTTCTCTATTGTAAATCAAATCTTTCTTCTTGCAGTCCTGTGTTATTTGGTGTTTTGGTCACTGGCCTACAGGTATTGTCCAGACATAATGGACAGCACTTGGCCTCTCGCCTTCACCTGTCTGACCAGTGTTAACCCGTGCTGCAGGGCCAACACATGTTTCCTTGTAAATGTACTGCTCAACAACAGATGCCCTCTTGTTACAGTGACTTAGCTCATATTCATAAATGCATATTCAAATAGAGCTTTACATATTCAGATCTGTCGAGTAGGGAGCTTGTGCCTGCGTGACATAACAGCTGTTGGACTGACGGCCATTTAGTGCATAGTAGGCTGTGTATTTAACACTGAAGTCAAGATTCTGTTAACTGGTGTTTGCACTGAAGGTGAAATTTCACTTTAAATCTTATATTTGTATTACATAGTGTGGGTCTGCTGCAGAAGTTTTCAGGAGAGGGTGATAAATTAGAGCAGTAATCTGTTATGGAAAGTTTATTTATTTATTTATTTTTTTGGTAAGAACATTTAATTTCCATACCTGCCGGTTGTTTAGATGTTTGGAGGATTTCTTTCTTTGAGTTACTGACCGCTACTGTTAAAGAACAAATTGAAAGTTGGTGCCTCAGTAAAAGATATTTTACCCCTAAAGCCCTAAACCCCTTTGAGGGCTTTGAGTTCAGTGATGCTACGTTGCCTTTTTTCCTACATTAACATCTCTTTCTCCTATTTGCAGCTAACATTTTGTTGATATAAACTTGTGTTGAATTGTGGTGGGGTTTTTTTGTTTTGTTTTTTCTTATTTGTTTTACGATGTACAACTAGATGCAGTTGAAAGCCAATGTTGATAGTCGCACAGTAGAATTATATTTTGGGAGACATATTTTTCTACATGTTTTAACAGTAGCATGTTTTTCATCGGCAGCATGTTGTGTCATCTGGAACGACATCCATCTGCCCAGACATACTGTGGTGGATCTGAACACAGAACACAAAATTAACAGCATGCTTGCGCCACTTTCTCTCATCTTCAAGAAATAGGCTTGTCCAATTGCAAAATGGCTGTCATTTTGTTATTTAAAAAAAAAAAAAGTCCTTTTTATAGCAAATTTGGATGCCTGACAGCTCAAAAGAATTTTATTAGGCATTGCCAGCACAAATAAATGATAAAACTACTAGCCTTATGCAAACAGGAAGTTGTTTATGTTGTTTTATGCTTTTATAATAATTAATGCAACAGAGATACTTGAAAAAAGAAAAGTTCAAGTTACTGTATTGTAAAGTATTGAATAAATTATAGGTATAGTCCTAATTAACACACCTTAAGTCCATCAGTAGCAAAGTTGTCCTGTTATGTGTTTACGTCCCAGTCAACAGTACTATTAAACATAAGTCTCTCATATGTTTTGCCAGTGAAACAGTTTAGAGATGTGATGGTATATTTTTATGTACCATTATTTTGTGTAATCTCAAAGAAATTCAATAGCTGATGTGTCCATATAAGTGTACTCGTAATAGCCTTGTAGAGGTGTATGGAGGTGTGTGGGCCAGGTGATTAACAATAGACTGGGTCAGGAGAGCTTTGTGTGGATCCTTGGGAAAATGTTGTGACCAGGCAGGTTATAAATGAAGAAAGCCCACTCTTATAATATTAATAATGAAAAGCTGCTGTCCTTGTGACTGCACAAATTAATTACTCTCCACACCTTTTTCCACATTTCTTTAATTGAATTTGAACAGTGGTAATACAGCAGCGCTGTATTAATGTCACCTCATTATTTAGTAACAGGAACCTCTGTGAAGCTGCACTGATGGATCTGGAGTCTTAATTAAAGGTGCTATTCTGAACAATATCTCAGAACTGGATCAAACATCTCATTTTAAAATCAGACCCTGAGTTTACAAACTCTCCTACACTCCATGTTTGTTTATTTTTGTACAGTTAAGTGCTGCTATTTGTTTTTAAGAGAACTTCAAGTGTAAAGTTAATCAGTTTGTTTTGAACATGGATTTCTTTACATGCTCCACTCCTCCTCTGGCTCCTCCCACGTATTTACATGCACTTTATTGGGATCTTAAGTCTGAATGCATGGTTTTGATTCTACACAGATGGCTCTGCCATCTGCATTTTAGCCTTTTGAAGGAGTATAAAGAGCTGCCACTAACAGAGACAGAAACACTGCTCCAAAAGTAAAGAAGCCCTTGATTTAGGCTCGGCACCCTCAGACGCACTGTGCTTCATTCACACATGTCAACAGTCAATTAATGCTGCTTTCCACAGCGGCTCTCAGTGCATCCGTGCAAATTTGCTCATTTCTTCACTAAATAAAGACAGTATAAATATTGAGATACATGCTTAAAGTTGTTATTAAGTTTGGCAACACTGAGCGAAATCATATCTTAATCAGCATCTATGTATGTGAACAGCAAACAGGTACAAGGTACTGCAAGTGTTTTTGAGATAATAAGGTTCTGGCACCAGTCTCTAAAAAGTTAGTTACATAAGATGATTGTATTAATCAGAGGCTGATGATGAGAAGGACTTTACGTGCAGTATGTTTGACAGAGAAAGACATTGGAGGTTGCAGTTGTATGGGAGTTTGTCTCCAGATGAAGCTCAGTGCATGTCTCTGTCATGTGTGCATTAAATATGTGCCCAAAGCTGCTCACACTCTTCACTCGTCCATTCATTTGGATTCGTTACTCCAAACAAAGTGCAATAACAAAAGAATGATAATAAGCTCCACTGCCACAGGTGATGTGAACGCTGCCTGTAACAGTGAATAATCATATGCCAAACACTTTGTTTAGCACATTTTATGTCATATGTTATATTATTACTCATTCTGTTGAATGTTGCACTGGTTTTATTATTAGTGGCTTCTTTATTCATTTCTGTCAGACATGGATCCATATATGAAAGAGCCCCTTGAACTGTCATCCTTAGGTTTGATAGTACATCCTCCCTCTCGCCCTGCCCCGGCTCTCTGCTGAATTATTGAAACAAAGACATGAAAGTTAATTTGCTAACTGTCTGTGCTTTAGCTGGCTAAACTCGCTGATGATGGCCTTGTCTCTGGAGGCGAGTGCAGAGAGAGGGGCAGTACAGGGGCTGCCTGGGGCCAAATGTCAGGTGTGTTTTCAGAGGAATAGAAAGACATGTTCCTGATAAGTGGACATGCAGCAAAGATAGTTGGGAGATTCATTTTGCTCAAAGCTCATGTAGATAATGATTTAATCTGAGTGTAGTGGTGCTGCTGTGTTGTTTTCTTCAGAGAGAGTAGAAACTGGAGACGTGGTGTGGCCGGCCTGTGGTTGCGGTCAGTCTTGGAAGCTTCTCATATTTTATTCCTGAGTGACATGTGTAACTAGCGCGCGGCTGTGAAGGAATGAATCCAGGTTTTGCAGTTTATATAGAGGTGGAACTGTGACATAGGACCTATGACCTATAACCTATTCCTGCGACCCCCACATGCCGTTTACCTGCACATTGGTAACCCTCTCACAGCCTCTGACACAGTACAAAAGTTGTCCCCTGAAGCCTGGATTGAATGAGTGATTTTAAATAATGCATTGAGCAGGGCAGGTGCCCATAGCCAGGGCACGCAGCCCCTCAGATCACACTGGAGCTGCCATGAAAGTTTCATTGCTCTGCGGCGCTCATGGGAATCACTATTCAGTCCTTACATTGTGAGAGGCCTCTGGGTATTTCACACTGCACCATGCGGTTTTAGTGCGCTTTATTGCAGCTGACTGTGTTCAAGCAGGGACAGCCCTAACACTCAAGGGAAGAAGTGCACTGTAATCACAAGAGCCTATTTTTAGTATTATTCAAAAACATATAGTGTTGTATCAAACTTCATATTGTTGTTGTATCCTTATGTAAGGCACTTCACCCACTTGACTTGTAAGAATTCTGTCACCAAGTGTATGTATTCTGTATGTACTCTAACAAAGTTGTAGCTGGGTTAAGGTTATTTAAGTGATAGCGTTTGCAAAAGCACGTTAACATCACCACATAAATAAAGTTGCCCTTTAAATCAATAAAATAATTTTGTCAATTTGGTTTGATTTATAATATCAGAAATAATGCAGTTATATTTAGTAGCAGCCTATACAAATAGAAATGTAACTCTGCTGTTGACGTTTGGGGAAACGGTTAACCTGCGACTGAAATAAACTAACAGCTTTAATTAGGTGTAAGCATTCTCTCCCCTAATTAATGCAAGGAGACCTGTTGCTATAGTAAACAAAAACTGATCACTTTCAGTTAACCACGGTCACTGCTCCGTAGATCAATATACAACATGTAACATCCCTGCTCTTCACTTATAAATATTGCAGTTCAGTTAGGTATGTCTTGTAAATTCCAAATTGACTGACTGAAATAATTTAGTTTAAGATTTTTTGCTGTCTTTAAAAGCTACAGGGTGATGTTTTCTTGTGTTTCTTTTTTTTTCTTCTTTTGTGCGCAAGCTGATCCAAGACTTCCCTTTGGATACTGCACTGGATATATTTTTTATGTGAAATAGGGCCCATGAATAGTCCCTGGATAGGTCTTTGGTACCACATTGTTTTGGAGGGTAAATGCTTTGCAGGAAATAAACCTCAGCCATAACATGCATGTTATGATTTTCCCCTATTTAATTGATTATTTTTAGTCTATAGTGCAGCTTGTGTTTGGAGATCTATCTAGTGTAGTTCGTAACAGGATTAAACTTTAAACATGTTAAATTTTCCTAGAAGACACCCAATGATTTTGTTTGAGTCTTCACTCATCACGTTGGCTTTTCTCCCTCAGTCCCACTTTCTTCCCTAAATCCCCCTCTGTCCCCATCTCTCCACCTCTCTCCTTCTAAGTCCTTCTCTGTCCTCCTCTGTCCCCCTCAATTCCCCTCAGTCCCCTTCTGACTGTCTCTCTGCACCTCTGCCCCCCTGTCTCTCCCTCCCCTCTGTCCCCATGTCTCTCACCTCAGTCCTCTGTTCTCCCCCGCTATCCCTCTCTCCACCTCTGTGTCCCTCCCCCCAGTCCACCTCTGTCTCCCTCTCTCCCTCTCTGTTCTCCTCTGTAGTATCTTGGCTGTGTGCCTCACTCTAAACTTCTTCAAACCACAGGGAGGTGGATCGGTGCCACAGAAGTATTTGAGCTCCGAGCTTTACATCAAACACTTAAGCCTTTGCATTTGTGTATGATCTGCTTACAGTTTATATCAAGCTTAATGACTGAGGAATTATCTACAGTTAAATGTCCACTACCATGTTGCTATTCAGAAGCAATACCATTAGCTTTATCCTGACTTTTTGACTATTTTACGTATTATGGCCACTCTGGACCAAAACCTTTTTTTTAGCACAAGGTTTAGCACAGTTGGCAGTGATACTGATGATTGATGTTTAGCACAATGTTTAGTTTTATTATAAAATCTACGATTATTTGTGGTAAAAATGACTGTTGTATTTTTTTATTGTCATTGTCATTTCAAACCATTTTATTGTCACAGGATTTGTTTGTTTACAAATACAATGTTTGATTGTTTTATTCTCATTGTGTTTTTATTGTTGCTGTTTGAAAAATGTGAATGTCTCTGTGATATCTTAAAATCTTCAAATGTATCAAAACATGAATCAGATAAACAGTAGACACCCTGCTCACTTCTTCTACTTGAATTGTTTTGAAACAAAATGCTACAGTTGTGTGTGACTCTGCTCCTCTGTCTGTGTGTTGCAGGTTAGCTTTATACGTGTACGAGTACTTGCTCCATGTCGGCGCTCAGAAATCCGCACAGACCTTCCTGTCAGAGGTAAGACTCTCCTTCACTCCCACTTCCTGCTCCTAAAGTGGGATCCCCCTCTATTGTATCAACACCAGTGGAATTCACAACTCAGTCATCCAGAGATCGAGCACTCAACATGTACCACTGTATTAATATAACTTAATGAGCTGAGGCCTGTTCTGTACACACTGTTAACAGCAGTGATTTTCATTGCTCTCTTTATTAAGTTGATGTTGTGTAAATATGATGTCAGAGTGCCTTCTTGATGTGATTAACTGCCATTTATAAACAGCTTAACTGTAAAACCTGTAAACAGTTTATTTTAGCATGTAGTAACAGAATAACAGATTAAAATATAAATGATAAAAGTATTATGCATATTGTTCTTTTACTCATATACAGTACATAGAACCATACACTTGGGTAATATCTTATAAGAAGGTGGTAGCTTTAGTCTAATCAAAGAAGTAACCAAAAATGTCTAAAAATAACTTGAACTAAAACTCAAACCTTTAAAACTCTGCATTACTTATTAGGCTCTTGAACTGTGGAAGAGGTAAGGTCTCTAATGTGTTGCATCCTCTTCCCTAATGGACATCCTTCCTGCTAATAGCCCCATGTTAAAGCCCAGGGCTGGACAACACCTCCTCTGTCATTGGCTTTTTCAGATTCACTTAATACATCTCCAAACACTGACAAAGGCCTTTAAGGGGAGAGCACATGTGTTGTCTATCACTGTTTATCTGACTATCAGGTGAAGTTAGGACAGAGATGTGCTCAGACCTGTACCTCCAAATTTTTCATTCAAGAATAAATGCTCTTTTAATTACACATTCACAAAACACTTTAAATAAACTCTTTTAAATGACATCTAGCATTCCTAATGTACGCTTCTTTGCATATTCCTGTTCTGCTACTACTACTCATTTATATGACATAAGCAAATTCACTTTGAAGAGGATGTTAGTTAGTTACAGTTGGGCAATCTACCAACGTATGTGTATTATTTGCTCTGCTCTGCACAGGTACACTTCTCTGACCAATTAGCTAAGTTCTGGTTGTATGAGCTCACATCTCAATATGCAGCTTGTTAGCAAACTCATTCTCACCATCCACCAGACAATCAGACTGTCTCATTATTGGCTTTTTAAAAAAGTTTTAGAAACTTTTAAGGAAAAATTAGACAAATGATTAGACAAAAGTTCACCAGATGTTGTGATCCCATGTTCTACAAATGGAAACACTCAATTTGTTTATATGTCAAACTATTTCCTATAGCAAGTGATGAGACGGTAAAGGGAGGGCTACGATTAAACTATAGGTAGTGATGTCACAAGCTGTTGAAGGATATAACATTTCTGAACTGGGTGATCACTGCACTGCTATAGAATTGTATTAGGCCTAAATGTATAATGCAGTACATTACTACATAAATTTCACATTCCACAAAAAAACACCTCAGGTGACAGTCTGTTTTTGGCCTTTGCTTATTTGTATTTCCACCACAATACAACAGATGTTTCACTGGCTTGTGTCATACAAAATGTATTGTGCAGTTTTAGAATCAAATCCAGTTTTAATCAGTAATTGTTATGTAAAAAAATTTACTCAACATTTGAATTTAAGTTCAACATTGTAACTCAGTGTCTTGTAATGCACATTTCTTAGCCACTCTGTAACTCAGGAATAGGATCGCAGGTAGACCCAGTTGCTCCACATTTGCTCTGTAGAGTCTAATGAGAGCTGTAAGCAGGTCCCTACCTCAATTAGCCTATGTCCCTCCTTCAGAGAGCTCCACGCGTCCCCATATACACACCCATACATTTTTATATACGCACACAATAGACCTCTGGACCCGAGAGGACTTGGCCACTCCACACTCTCGAGCTCTGAGCGGCACTGGGCTCTTTAACACTGCTAAATCTACAGACTCTCTCCAATGTATGAAAAACATCTGATAATCTCCACTTAATATCTAATGTATCAAAAACAAGATGATAAATAACTATTCTAAAATGCTGGTTGTCAACCAAACATTGCTCTATATTGTAATTCACCAATTAAACCAGCAAATACTTGATTCCAAGCCAGGATGAAGACGTTTGCATCCAGTATACTGTGGGATGTAACAATAACCAAATCTTTCAATACAATATTTTTGACATTGCATCTCACGATATGATATTATATTTTGTGGAGGCTATGCTACATTTAATTATAAATAATTAAGATTTAAAGTACATAATTCATTATGTAGATTGGACTGACACAGAGGAAAGGATCATGGTCTGTTTTTATTGCTGCACCATAACAATGAATATATATATTGTGATGGCCCACAGTATTATTGAGATTTTTGATGATACAATACTACGATATTCCTGTTATTGTATGGTAAATGAGACAGCAACCAGAAGATACAGCCTCAGTACACTATAACTGATGTTTGTGTAAAATTTATATCCAACATATTGCGTTCAAAATATTGTGGAATAATTACCAGTAGAGTTTGAACCTTATTAACTTGAAGAAAAAAACAACATGTGACCATATTAAGAATGCAGGCCTGTGTGAAACCAGCTCTTGGTCTATCTGCACGATCTTATCTATGAGTCCAGATATACTCCATACAGTGGCTCTACTGTGACTGCTGTTTTAAGATGACCACTGTGTCTTATCCACCTTGTACTCCAGTCCTCTGCCCTCTGGCCCGTTTCTCTGTTGGGGTGTCATAATATCCAATTGTATCCAAATTATTACTTGGAAGAACATCATGATGAATATTCATGATTATTGACACCACCATGAACAAACTGTAAAATTAACTTTAAGTAACATTGTCTAATTAGAATTCAAACAATCTTAATGATAAAGTAAAATTAATGTGACATACACAGCCAGATATATAAGCCCTTTACATTTGGTTTGGGTTTTACATGCTTACAGTTCACATCAACATCCTAGATTATTATTTTCTACTTCTTTTAAAGAATCACTATTATCAATGAATCTTGTAATTCCCATTTCTCTGTCTGTCTGACTGAAGTTTGGGCCGCCAGTTCAGTTTAATGATTACAATATGCATAAAACATGTAGCAGTATTTCATAAGCCTCTTTTGTCTTCCTGCTCTCCTACAGATTCGATGGGAGAAGAACATCACACTTGGGGAACCTCCGGGGTTTCTACACTCATGGTGGTGGTGAGTTTGGACTTTTCACCTCTTGTGTGTAACTAGTGACTTTATGTACTCCTGGAGCACTTGTGATGGTGCTGAAAGAATGTGCTGAGGTGGAGAGGGACAGTAATTGCAGGGCAGGGTAAAATGCATCATCTAACATGTGTTTTTAGAGCAGTACTCCTGACATGTCTCTGATTGACAAGTGAACTTATTTCCCGCTCCTCTGTTATTTAAACCTCACATCTGAACTGACACCGAGCTGCCCAGTCTGTCAACTACGTCAAAGTCAGTCACTGAGTGTTCTTTCTGAAACGCAGTGTAGATTTGTTAAACTGATTGCCTGCTTTTAAGAACTAGAAAACTAAATGAAAAATTAATGTTGACCCTCATGGTTACACCTGGAATAGCATTGTGTTGATTTCATACCTGCCTGTACAAAACTTAAAGGTGCACTGTGTAACTTTTCTGGTGTGGGATCCAAGAGATGTTATATCTCTGCCCAGAATGTTTTCAATAAAGCATTAAACTTTCCATTTCATTGCATTTTATTTCAGTTATGTGAACAGGGTTTCCATGTGGTCTCCCTTTTTGATTGACCAGAAACACTCAACAAGTTTTTGAGATGTTCCTCTCTAAGCCGCACAGCTTTTAAAGGGGCCATATTACTCGATTTCATCAAAAACATACTTGGAGATGTCTTTTGTTTCATTCATACATGTTAAACACGCAAACCCTGCATATTCAGAGAGAGTTCTTTCAGAGAAAAAACACTCACCTTGTGATGTCATGTGGTAATATAGGAAGTGCACCACTGTGATTTTAAACTCCACACACCTTCACTAGAATCATTTGAAAAATTTCTGCCTTGGCATTTCCTGTCTCCACTGAACTAAAGGTAAAAGAGAGCTGTTGACTTGAAAACTACTGCTTTATAACATCACAAGGAGGGACAGATCATTTTGAGCTTTTGAGATAGACACACTAATAACGCAGAATTACTAAAACATGTGTGAATGAAACAAAACACAACTCCAGGTATGTTTTGGGAACACTGAACATGGCATAAAGCTCACAAGAGTAAATTTTGCGTAATGTAGCACCTTTAAGTCTAAGTCCTTCCTTGTTTTGACTGCTTTTGACACATACATTTGTATAGATGTCAAGTCAAATATACAATATTTAGGAAATTTGTTTAATTCTCCTCACTTGTCCCAGGCCGTGAGGTTATGCCTGATCTGTGCTGTATTTCTCACTGGAAAAAGGAGAAGGAACAAATTAAGTGACAGAAAAACAAACCTAAAACTCTTCTGTAAAGTGTTTCTATTCTAAACGAAAAGGATTACAAGCTTTGACAGGCGCGTGTTTTGTTTGTCATTCACACTATCCTTGTCTCCCCTAAAGCCCCCGGGTCCCTCCAATGTAATAAACGCACACATACAGCTTCATTCAGTCATCCTTGTCCGGCTCGTGCGCGCTGTGTGTGTTATGATTGCGTGGCCTGTTGACACTCTTCATAATGGTCCTTAAAGAGCCTGGCTTCTCTCACTCTTGACAGCGCTCAATTGGACAGCCAGCCATAATACTGACAGAGTGACATACACAAACATACAGCACGTTGGCTTGGTCACACCTCTGCCCAGACCAATCGGAGTACTTGATGAAACCGCTAAGAGAGAGCGCTGTCATCACACACATCCATGTTTCAGTTTAATGTTGTAAAGTTACAGCTGATGTATTTATAACTATGATTTTCTTTTCTGATGTTGTCACGTATCCCCATAATCCTGTATTGCATTTTACATTCTGAGCTGGAACTCTTTATTAGCTTAAAGGTCCTATATTACATAAAATTGACCTTTGTGAGCTTTAAGCCATGTTATAATGCTTTTACCTCTTCTAAAACAACTCCTGAGTTGCTTTGTTTCATTCACACATGTTTGAGTAACTCTTTATTGTGTCTGTCTACATCTCCAAAGCTCTAAATGTTCTACCCTGCTCCACCATGTGATGTTACGTAGTGGTAGTTTTCAAGTTAACAGCTACCTTGTAGCTTTTGTTCAGTAGAGACGGGAAATTCCAGGGCTGAAGTTATCCAAATGATACTAGTGTACGTGTAAGGATTTTTAAAAACACAGTGGAGCGCATGTGTTTTCAGTCTGAGAGAAGGAACTCAGCTTTGTTTGTTAAAGGCTAAAATTAAACAAATGAAACAAATCACAACTCCAGGTATGTTTGTGATGAAGAAACAACATTATAAGATAGATTAAAAAAAACGAGTAATATGCACCCTTTGATGGTGCAATAGTTAACTTGCTTGTCTCCATGAAGATGTTATTGCTTTGCCTGGATTCGTCAGTATGGCATTAGACTTGCATTGTCTAATGCCATACTGCATTCGTCATTTGATTGTCTCCAAGACAATAGATAGGTTTAATGGCATGCTGTAGAAATAACATCTCCATGGAAACAAACCAGAAAAGTTACATAATGCACTTTAAATGAATGATCATCATTTTTATTCTGCCTTAAGTTATTAGCAGCTAAGTAGTATACATTCTTGTCTACTCACAACAAGAAAATTTACAGTATTGGGACCAGTAGAAAGTGTTTATGTATCTTAAAATTTTAATAATCAGCTATTTGGAAGCAAACAAAACAGCCCAATTTATAATTTGTATAATTATATAATTTCTTGCTGTTTACAAATAGCATTTAGATGGTGCTAACCAGGTTAATACTGTAATATCTGTAAGTGTACCATGAACTTGAATAGCTTTGGCATCCGTAACTATAGGCCTAGGGCGAATGATTAGCCAGACTAGAGAGGGCAGGGTTGAGGCGTAGAGCAGGGCGTCTGTCTGGGCCGCGCAGCACGTGGACATGGAGACCCTCCGGGGGGTGGAGCCCATGGAGGCGGAGCCCAGTCGTAACCCCCCTGTCCCGAAGCCTCCTAAAACAAAAGCTCCAGATGGTAGAAAAGCCACCAACCTCCCCTCTCCCCTCAGCCCTCGCTCCCCTCCCCTCAACCTTTGTCTGTAGCCCTGTCCCTTTGTTTGCGGAAGAGAGACCCCCGAATGGATTAACTCTTAGCATTCCTGCCTCTTTTGTGTTAAACAGCCCAATCTCTGCCACCACCGCAGCCCCACCCCCTCGGTCCCCTCTTCAGCCTCCCTCTGCCCTTAGCCTGCTTCCTGTAGGACGCCGGTCGCTAGGGTGTAGAATAGTGGTCTGGAGGGGGGAGGGCGGGGGTCACTCATCCACATCTGTTGTTATGCGTCTTGGATAAAGGGCCCCGGCTGCAGGTGCGGACTGTCATTAGCTCTCTGTCTATTGGCCACAGCTACTTGTCTCCTCCTTATCCCCCGATCGATCGGTTTAACCAGTTTTCACTAGATGGCCACTGACTCCAGGGTGCACCCCCCTTTTCACGTCCACAGCAACCACGTAACAATATCGCAGTGAGAGTCCCAGCAGGGCACAGTATGGAGGGAATCTGTGTGATAGCCCGTAGCAGAAATTCTTGTTTGTGAGGGGCAGAGAAAACAGAAAGCAATCTCTCCAAAGTCTGTTTTTGTTTTTATTAATACAGGTACATCAAGCATTCCTTTACTTTGTACCATTTTCTCTTGTTTTCATCTAATAAACAAAACTAGCTTTTTATCCTTGTTATATTTTAGCTTTGGTAACAGATAAATTACTGCTAAGTGAACACTTGCTGCTTGTTCTCTGGTTAAAAGATGGTATTACAAAGTTGGCTTGTAGTATTATTGAGTTCGGAAAATTTGGCCACTTATTTAATAGATGAACTAAAATTGCTTTGAATGTACTTTGTTCTAAAAATATTCTGGCAAATCTAAGATGGAAATTAGATACTGAAATTAAAATCACACTAAAGCTTCTCTATCAATAATAATGCTAAACACAAAAATGAGCCATCCAACTTGTATTTTGCAGCAGTTACTCTTTGCTTGGTCGTGTCTGGCTTTTGTTTTGCATTGGCAGTGGCTGTATTTATTAGCTTTGGTCCAAAGGGAGTGTTGCCGATTTACATGGCATGGCCAATGTTGTTTCTTCCTGTTTCACTCAAATGCATCGCTGCTACTAGAGGAAAAGCAGTGCTAATTTTTGTGAAGGAAACATTGCCATTTTACAATTATTAACGGTTGTTTACACCACGACCAATTAACTGAGATCTTTAATTTTCTTTCATTCACATTGTCCAATCACTGATATATGCCATCAGCTTTCAAATCAAACTTTAACTTAAACTTCATCTTTTCAGTCATAAGGTGATGTAAACAGCCAGATTAATAAAAACACTTATGGTTTTCAGTTTTAGTATATATTGAATTGGTTTATTTTTGCTTGTGATATTGTCAAGCTAACTATTTTTTGTAGTTGTTAATTTTTTGTTTTAACACTTGCCTTAATAGAAGGACTCAACATGAGTGCCAACTTTATATCTAACTTAATTTTCTGTTTCCTCAGCTCTGACCGTTTTGTGTTTTAATTTCCAAGTCCATTTCTTCCACTCCCAGACTCACTGTTTGACTCTGATATCTGGCCAAAGAGACACACGATTATCGCGCAGACCTGCCACCTGTAGCTAACAAATCTGTCCTTATGTGGCTTTGTTATGTAGAAATGGGAGGGACATTGTAGCCACCCGCTTTCTCAGACCACAGTTACAAATAATTATCATGATGGCATTTAATTTTAGTAATTGTCTTCATATTGGCTCTTAATCCCTTCCTCTATTGTGGCTGCAGTGAGTGTTAGTGTGTTAATGTGTGCGTAGGGCAGAGCAAAAGTCATACACAGGTTATTGAGGCTGCAGAGAAAGATGTGCTAATAATTTAGAAGAAAATATTAGAAACATTCAGAATGCTTAGACGTCTGCCAAACTATGCAAGGCAGTACATCACAGTGGTAAATCACTGTACCCAGACGAGGATTGTATCACTGTATTAATACTTGTTAAAATGTGTATCTACTTTAAAGTCTTGGTATTGTGGTTACAAAATTGGTATCAAACTAGTATTGCAAGTAACAACAACATTCCCAGACCATTTTTTAAGCTAAACCGTGATCTGTATCTGCTATGTGCATATAAACTATATTTTGTTGTCCCATAATTTAACTTTCTTGACATTTTTGGAGCGTTAAAATATATGATTTGAGTTAAAATAACTTTACATGCTTTTCCTATAGCTGTAAGTGAGAAGTTTTTTTCTGTAGCACATCTCCACTAGGCCCAGTTACTTTCTCTAACACCATAAAGAGCTCCCTATGATGAGATGATTAGATTGAAATGATTAGATAATTGGATAGAACATTGGCTGGTACAAGGGGCGCGCGCAGTACAAGATTTTTTTTCAGATTGTTGGTGCTAATTAACCGCAAATGTTGACTTCACTGATGGTTCCTGAAGATTACTGTCTTTGAATAGGAAGCAACAACAACCTAAACATGAGTGCTATTGCGCAGGGTGGATGGAGTAGACAAACGAAAAAAGTTGTGAATGATCATGTCCTACACTTGAGAGAAATTAAAATCTTTCACAGATTGGTGTTATTTCTAGGCCTATAAAAGCTGTGCAAGGACAAATTATAATTTCAAAATCCAACTACTGGAAAGGATAGTTTTATTGAAATGTATTTGAGTTGAAGGTACACATGTTTACAAAAATTTTAATTGTTTTCAAAAGTGAATTTCAATCAGCACCTTCTCAGCAGACTGGAATTAATTTCAAACATTTCTTTTACTTTTGAGTTAAGACTCTTTCAGTAATGACAACATCAACAAACTTAAACAAAATTGAAAAAGACTATTAAAGTACCTTGAAATGTCTCAAAACCTTATTATATTTATTTATTTACATTTTATTTATTTATTGATACAAGTTAAAGGTGAACTATGTAACTTTTTGGTTAGGGGTCCGCCACCTGCTTATTTCTATGGATATGTCATTGCTCTGCCTGGAATATTCTACATTATGACATTAAACAGCTCTACCTTACATGTATTACATTACATGTGTTTTTATAGTTTAAAAATACCTAGAAAAACAGGCAATCTGACTGTGAGCGTTGTTGCCTCTACATAGATCTGACCTGTAACTTTGTCTGGTTTGGTTTCCATGAAGATAGAAAGATTTAATCTCATACTGTGAAACATTCCCGACAAAGCAATAACATCTCCATGGAGAAAAGCATTTGACGAGCCCTCCACTACCGAACTTACACAATGCACCTTTAAATAAACATAAAAGAGAATATGCTGTTGATTCTTTTCTTGCTGTCCCTGCTGTGGTGACTCTTTTGCATGTCAATCACCTCTAGCAATAACAGAATAATGAAAGTGTACATTTAGGTTCATAATCAGATTATATGGAGCCAACAGAGAATGAGATTTGAGCCTGAACTGAGACAGACGTGGGTCAGCTGTTCAAATTGCAATATACAGGAGATGTTTAGATCACCTCTCCACTTCCACTGCATGGCCCATATCTGCATGTCTTTTTGGTAACAAACTACGTCCCCTTTCATTTCCCTGTCAGCTGATTGGACTCGCGATGGTGGCGCTCTCCCTGACTCCCAATCTCTTTAACACACGACAGCAGATATGATAATGTACGCTGGAGTTATTGTTATGTGAAAGAGGGGGCAGCATTCTGTATACACCTTTATGCATAAAATGGACAGTCTTCCCACAATTCCCTGCTCTGACCCATTCACCAGGTCCGCCCCGGTGCACACTCTCTGCTTCAGGGCACCTACTGTGTTTTAATCTTTAACTACTTTAATAACTTTGCTATTTTTGGTCACAGGTTGCTATCTTGTGCCATAGGGTTGAAAGTTATTGTGTGTTTATTTTTAGCACTCTCTTTTGTCCCCTTGACATTTTCATGCAACCTTCCAGATGTGGGTAGTGTAGCCTAAAATTGTACTCAACTATTACTTCAAAATAATGTCACTCAAGTAAAAGTACAAAGTAGTAGTCCAAGAAATTACTCAAATATTTGGGAAACTACTTTTTCAGTAATAGTAGTTTTAAGTAAATGTCTAGATGTACCAACTGATTTATGATTTGAAGTTCACCCCATTTTGTGCATTATTTATGGACATAACATTAAATAATGCATAAAATGGGGTGTATGAATAAGTACAATTTCTTACTCAAGAGATGAATCTCCTTTTTAGCCCCAAAACCCTTTTATTGACAATATTGTAAAACTGTGCATTTACAGAGAGACATTTGTTTCTTTTTATATCTAAGTCTTGTGTCATTGGGTTAAATATGTTCTATTTATAGCACATGTTTTTGTTGTTATCTTCAAATAACTCCCAAAAGGCAAAATCGTTTTTGTACTAACTGTCTAAACTGCGGCGCCAAATTTTCTCTTGAGTGTGAAATGACCAACACGTGACAGACTGCTAGTGAACAACTCTGTGACAGATCTGGGCGTTGAGCTAATATTTTCTGCTCCATTTCACAGTCTGTCATATCAGGTGTCATGGAGATTCCCCGCATCAGCACGGGAGAAACACACCAATCTGTTTGTTTTTGCACCGCTACATATCACAACAATCACAGCAACAATTTGTCTTTTTATTTTCTGTCAAATCAATACAAGTCTTTAATGTGGATCAGCAGCTACTTCATTTCAGGCCAGTAATTAAGGGCCATTCAGAGCGGTGGCCTCTGCTGCCCCCCGATACAAGTGGGTTTGGTCTAATTAGCTAATATGAGTCAATGTGATTGGCCAGGAAGAAAACTATTAACAGTTGATCGGTCAATAAAGGCAAATTGTCAGGGCAGGGGAGATTATTATGGGGACCCTTGTGTATATTGGATGAAAGTGCTTAACATAACACCAATCTGACTTTTTACAAAAATGTGAAAACAGTATTTAGATGCACAGATTAGTCTACACTAGTATTTCTACAGTAGTAATGGGAAGAAGAATTTATAATTTATAATAAAAAATACTTCAAAGCTAAAAATGAAAAAAATTTTAAAAACTGTTGTAAAATGTTGTTGTAAGCCTCTAAATAAATGTGTAAGTGTTTTGAGTATATTTTAAAATATACTAAAATATATTTTGGGGTTTAATATATTTATTTTTATCACATCCAGTGTTAATAGTGTCATATGATTGTTTATGCCTATAGACATTCTTTTCCGATATTCATCATGTTTCCCATGCAGACTGTATATATATCCATATAGTATACACTTGCATAGCACATGACTGTAACATCCTTTATGTTTAGACCCAGTGTATCTAACGGCCCCTCTCTCTCTCCTCTCTGTGTGCACAGTGTATTCTGGGATCTGTACTGCGCTGCCCCAGACCGGAGGGAGACATGTGAACATTCCAGCGAGGCCAAGGCTTTCCATGACTATGTGAGTGAACTTAACCAACCCATCGCCTCCTGTTTGTTTGTGGCTACAGCAGCCCAAAATGTACACTGTCATTCACACATGCATGTCAGCGTATGGCCACACAGTTGGTGGATCAGAGAGGGAAGAGACTGGAGATAATGCTGCTGGTTCCTGTTTTGACATGTCGGTGGATCTCATAGTTTGCCTGTCTGTGCTGTTTTATTTGAGTGTTTGAAATAACTTGCTCCAATAACCTTTAAATTTAATGTCAACATGCTCAGGCTTCCACTTAAGCTTAAGCTTTAAAATCTTGTAAAAAAGATCACATTTTCTTATACTTAACTAGACGTGATTTCTATCTTAAGGCAGCCTATCATGTAACCTCAGCTGCTGGCCGCACTTCCTTAAATGCTGACCTTTGACCCCAGAGGTCTAAGCGAAACTATCAGTCTTCAGTGAAAGGCTCTGACACGGACTGGAGATTTATTGGACTCCTCCGAGCTCCCAAAAAGGTCAAGGCACATAAAGCAGCTGCTTACTACAAGAACATTAGCACAAACATATAATGGTAACTTCATACATGCATGTGTACACACACGCACGGAGGTCCACACTATTGTTGTGGCTGTGAGGGTTGAGGAGGTGTCAGGAGCTACAGGTCGGTGCCCTTTTTGACCCTCTGATCTTCTGAGGAGCAGGGGCAGTCAGTCACACACCTTATACTCACACATAAGGTTTTCTGGTGTTGCTTAGGCCTGTCACAATAATTAATATATGGACTTAGCGTTTAATATATGAAAGCTGAAACAATACATTTTGGAGCTCAATGTTTATTGTGTTTTTTTTTGTTTTGTTGTAATACGATTTGAGCTGTGGAGGGTTAAAAAGTAACTTCTCTGGGTTATAATTGCTTAATTATGCCATTTAATTGCTGTATCACATCTCTTTTAATAATATTGTTTACTGAAATAAGGTTAATTAGGTTATCTTGCTTTATTTTTTTGTGTAAGTGATAAAAAGTCATTTAAATATTATCATTTATCGCAATATTTCTCTGTTGTTATATATCTTTCTTCAAATTTGTTATCATGACAGGCCTAGTGCTGCTGTATGATGAAACTACACAGGCTTGCTGGAAATGTTTTAAATAACTGTGTCTCTACAAAAGCCATACTTTTACCATAAATCCATAAATGTGTGTCCAATTTACTCTGTGAAGTGTCTCAATGACTAAATTGTCTGGCCCTGGGCTGGATTCTGTACTTTAGAAAGTCGATGATTATTCCACCTGGCAAAAGTGAAACTTGAAATGAATTACCAGCCTATTCTTACATTTCATTCAGGCCACTGTAGCCTGTAGCCTGTCGCCTGTTCAGTTGAACTCTCTTATGAGGGTTGACAACCAAAGAGTGCGTACTTGTCAGCTGCACAGATTACATTTGTTGTGCATGTAGCGTGCATGTGTGTACGGGGAGCGGTTGATGTGTGTGTCTGCATGTGTTGGACCACCATAAGATTAATTACATGGTTAATTAAACCGGGTAGTTAATTAAATCTGACAACTGTGTCTAATTAATCTAAATGCCATATAATTTCCTACACCTTTCTCCAGAGGTAGGCCAGCTGGATACCTGCATGTCAGCTCTTAAATGGCTCCGCTTTGACAGCTCTGGACAATACGAACCACTGGATTACAGTCTGCTACTAAAGAGCCTTTTCAAATAACAGTGGTCTTATAATTCATTTGGAGGCTATTAACCAAAATTATTCAGTACAAATGTTCATACTATTAAGAAAAAGCATAATATACAGTATAATTAATGCCCTATTAACACTGGCATTATCTTGGATTTATGGCTCTTTGTTTTGTAGTTCAATGGCGTGGATATGAATGACCTTTGACCTGGCTTAAATTCAGAAGTCAAAAGCTGTTTTGGGCTCGACTGCTGCAGCCTCGCCATACAACAGCATAAATTCTAACTGAAATGTGAGAAGCTTTGGCAGCTCATTTCAGCAGTTATATAATTTACACAAAAGTCAGCATGGATTAAACAAAAAAGAAAATAGAGAAATGCACTTGCTAACACAGCTTTTAAACGGCCTATATTACACCATTTTCTGATCTATTTTATATTTTATATAGTTATTGCTTCCCTAAAACATACCTGGAGTTGTGTTTAACTAACAAACCTTGCATATTTAGACTGAGTTCTTCTCTCAAACAGAAAATACATTGTTCCACCTTGTGATGTCATGTGGTAATATAGAAAGTGCTCCACTGTGTTTTTAAACTCCACACACCTTCACTATAATAATTTAGCTCATTTCAGTCCTGGAATTGCACATATCTACTGAACAAAAGGAAAACTGTCTCTACACAATATCACAAGGTAGAACAAGGCATTTTGAGCTTTGGAGATGTAGACAGACCAATAATGCAGGATTACTCAACAAAACACAAATCCGGGTATGCTTTTGTTGAGGTAAAAACATTATAACATGTCTTAAAGCTCACAAGAGTCAATTTTATGTAATATAGGACCTTTTAATACACAATGAGATCAACAAAGTGTGAATAAAATGAGCTTGCTATCAGTACCCAAATGTGCATCAAAATTTGTCCGTTCTTTGAGTATAAGTATTTTTCAAAAGCCATTTGTGAGGGTGTGGCGAAAGCAGGTCCAACGATAAAGTACAAGACCGAGCCTGAGCGGGCCTGTGCCTCTGTGCCACCTCTGTGCGTGCTACAGTGCGCGTATGTGCGTTTGAAAGTGAAAGTGTCAGGGTCGTGGCGTGCGAATCCCGGGGGCCGTGAGGGGTCTGTCTCCCTCTGATTAACTGTGGCTCGTGGTCCCCGCAGACGCTCGGCCCGATCAAGTCTGTATGGCGGCCCTCGCTGATAACCGCTCCTCATTCCCCCCGAGCGGGCCCTGGATCTCAGAGTGAAAAACAACAGGGCTCCCAGGAGTCACACCCACTCGGCTCTATGGGACACGCAGTGAGAACAAGCGCAAGGAAGGCTTCAGACAGTGGTGTATATATTGTCTATGGAGTTTGTCTTTAGCTGTGTTTTTCTGTTATGTTTATTGTGGAGAACAGTAGGTGACATTGTGTAATCGAATTGAGAATGAGATGGAAGTAGTGATTTTTTTTTCTGTGGCAGAATTTGTAAAAAGTGTCATAATGCTGTTTTTTTCCTATTGCTTTGCATGGATCTTGCCACATGAATGAACAGTTTCCCTGCCAGCTCAAAATTAGTACCTAGGTGAAAATGTTTTTATTATTGGCGTGCAAAATTATTATTTTATCATGCATGCATGGTTGGTTAGAAGACAAATAGCACAGTGCATTTTATTTCTATATTCCATTTCTGACTAAACCTTCTAATAACACTGATATTACCTTGCATATTGTTATGTTGCTAGACTACATTTGTCGTCTTGGTAACAGATCTGGTTTGGACTCAGTACGGGTCAGCATAGCCCGGTTGGCAGCCACCTCCTCTTTAGCCCTGTCCCATTGGCCTTTATTGGGGGACATGATGTGGCCTCCCCAGTTTAAGGAAGATAATGGAATATAATGTGCTAATCCTCAGATGTGGTTGACAGCTAATCCAGGGGAATGTGGCGGGATTGGAGTCCTGGACTCACTCCCAGAACCGCGGGCCGCTGCTGTTGAGTTGGACTGCCGCTTCTTGGCTTCTCCCCTGGATTGCTGAATGCGCTATGATAGCCACTCTAGCTCGTGTGCATGTTACAAGTTTGCGCTCATCATATGCAAATAAATATATCGTACACTTGAAACTTGTAAGGCGATAGCATTACACACATCTCCAACACAGCCTCCAGTCCTAACCTCACCAAAGTATTTTAAGTGGTCTCTCTTGTCGACTTAATTGTGGGAGTTATGTTTCTGTCTTTGCTGCTTCACTTTGCCTTTTAATCATGTTTATTTTTTAAGAGAATCTCTCGTCTTATGCTGTGCTTTCTGTTCTCCAAATTGGCTGCTCCTCAAAAGACCACTTTGTTAAGGTAATGTGTTTGATTATAAGAACATGGCGTGTCTTTAGTAACTCAATATGAATGATTAAAGGAATAGTGCTGTGTGATGAAGAAAGCATCTATTTTGAGAAGCTTGAACAATGTTACATACAGAAGAATAAAAATGACACTTCACAATCCATGTGATTATGAAGCAATGATCCACTTTTCCATATTTTCATAGACATCTTGTTTTGCCCTACACAGCGGTCACGACCCTACACATCTGCGCTCTGTGCCAATTCGGGTGATCTGCCCATTGCCCCGGGACTGTCACAGATTTAGTGCAAGATGTGCGTCACTCTCTGAGTCCTCTTCGCCTTGTGGCTTGTTTGATGCGAATTATCAAGAATGAGGCACCACAGTTTCCCCTGTGCACAAGTGAAATGTGTCATGATTGTTGCTTCTTGTACACACTGGCTTTTGCAAAATAAGCCAGTGTGTAATATTTTAATAATAAAATACTTCCTTAACTGTGTAAAAGAGGATTACTTTAGTTCTCTTTTCAATGTTAGGAATCTTACAATATCATCGTGTTAACATTATTGGAAAAGAAATATCATGATTTTACCTAATTACACCACAACAAAACAACAGTAAATTTGTTCTGTTTCATATTTTTTCCCCCATTATCATTTTGTAATATGTTACTATTCCTCCAGTATATGATCTTTATGAAATCAAACTCTCTGAATGAGAAAGTTAAGTTAATGTAACACAAACTTTCAATATGTGAAAGCTGGAGCAATATATTTTGGAGCTCAAAATGTATTGTATGTAAAATTTATTTGTTAATGTAGGGGAAAACAATACGATTTGAGCTGCAGGTTGAAGGTTGAATAAGTGACTTCTATGGCTAACTATTGGTTTATTCTGTTATTTATTTGCTCATGGCATAAAGTAGTTTTGATATATCATGCTTCAAAATATGCTATCATGACAGGTCTACTAGCAGCTTTTGGGGTATAGATTGAAATAAAA